TTCTTTTCGTGTTTCCTTGAGTTTGATCATCGGCTCCAAACATTCTAGCCATCCCAAAATCTGATATTTTTGGATTCATGTTTCTATCTAATAAGATGTTGCTATCTTTTAAATCACGATGTATAAAGCCTTGAATCTTCATGAAGATAAAGAATTCCTCGAGCGATTCCTCCAATTATCATTGTACGACTCAACCTATCCAGTTGTTCTCGTTTTTTATCTTCTGCACTTACATTTACCAAGTTCAAGTAGTTTTATTTAAAGTTAGAAACACATAAATCTATTTTTACCGACACAAGTAACAAACCAAGTATATTCATGAGTTGATATGTGATACCAAATAGAAAAATAATCAAGACTCTTGTTAGGCACATATTCATACACAAGTAAAGTTTCTTCTCCTTCCAAGCAAAATCCCAAAAGCCTCACATCACAAGGTTTCTGTGTTGAAGCTTGGCTACCAATACAACCTCATTCTTAAATTCTTGTATACCTTGTCCTGAGCTTTCTGATAACCTCTTTACCGCTATTTCTTGTCCGCTACTAAGAATCCCCTAAAAAAGTATATGTGGAGCTACTTATTTTATCCATTCGGCCCAAAAAAAAAAAAAACCCAAAAAAAAAAAAAGCCAAAAAAAAAAAAAAGCCAAAAAAAAAAAAAAGCCAAAAAAAAAAAAAAGCCAAAAAAAAAAAAAAGCCAAAAAAAAAAAAAGGATCTACTTATTTTATCCAATAATTTATTGTTTGTTATCAAGCTCATCTTAATTATGTTTAGAGGAATGCTAGCAATATTCTCTCTAACCTTCTCTTTTGGACCTTCTCTCTTTTCCTTATGACATGTGTCACTCTCCTTACATTTAAAACAATGTCATTAATGCATCATACAAACCATCTTTTGTTTTTCAAGTTTACTCTTATTATATGTATTGACTTTCATGTTTCTTTCAATTTATCCTAATCAATCCATTCCAACACTCCAAGTCTTATCCTAATCAGTCCAATTAGGCATATCAAACGGGGCATGAATATCATAAAATATATGTTGAATTTTTCAATCTCCCCTTCTATTTGTAGAAAAAGCCTTCCCTTTCCATGTCCCATTACTTTGAATATACAAATCACATCTTATCTCCTATGTTAAAGACACTTATGCTACAGTTTTCAATTTACAATCTTGCAGCATGAGAACAAGCGAATTCGCAATCTTGTCTGCGTTCACCGTGGTGAAACGATAGAAAGAGTGAGCCCGTTTGAAGTAGGATCAGTTGTAGACTCGCTAATTGGAATTCTACCTGCAGAAAATATTGCCGGTTGCTTTGGTTCAGGAAGATCTATTGATTCACTTCCAAGCAATACAACCACAGCTGACATGGTAGGCCTCTCTTCAGGGTCTTCCTGGACACATAAAAGCGCAATGTGCATGCATTTCAAAACCTCTGCTTTTCGCCAAGATTCCATCAACAAAGGTTCCACAAATTCTAATTCTTTTCCATCTTTCCATAGTCTCCATGCCTATCAATTAATTAAGAAAGAAATATGTTTGTTTTTCAAGAAATTAATATGTATCAAACTTAGTGAACTAAGACTGTTATCAAAATAGACAAAGAAACATACATATGCAACGAGTGTCTTGGCATGTTCTGTGAGATAGAACCCGCTATTCCTTTTCCCACTAATAATCTCCAGCAAGATTACCCCAAAGCTGTAAACATCAGATTTTACAGAAAATAGACCCTCCATTGCATACTCCGGAGCCATGTAGCCGCTGTTTCATGTAGAATAAGCTAGCAGTAGTTAGCAAGTTCTCTTCTCAATTAGATTTGAAATGCTCTTGCTGGAAGCAAGTTATAGGACTCTAGATATAAATAAAGGAGATGTCAATTTAAGAAGCAAACTCACTACGTTCCTACAACTCTTTTAGTGTTAGCTGTGTTCTGGTTTTCACAAAAGATCCTTGCCATGCCAAAATCTGATATTTTGGCAACCATTTCATGGTCCAACAGGACATTGCTAGGCTTCAAATCCCTGTGAATGATTTTGAGCCGCGAGTCCTCATGGAGATACAGAAGTCCTCTGGCAATGCCTTCAATAATGCTGTAATATGTTTTCCAATTGAGTTCAGCTCGTCTTTCCGAATCTGAAATTCAATGGTACTAATCAAATTCAGTACATGCCATCAAGTTGAAATGTGTCTGCATGATGAAATCATATAAGGATAAAAGAACATTTATAGCAGACGAGTAGGCTAGGTTGAACCAACCAAAGATGAAGACATCTAGGCTTTTATTTGGCATGAACTCATACAACAGAAGCTTTTCCTCTCCCTCAAAGCCACATGCCAAGAGCCGCACAAGGTTTCTGTGTTGAAGTTTTGCAATGAGTATGACCTCATTCTTAAACTCCTCCAAGCCTTGCCATGACTTCCTTGACAGTCTTTTAACAGCTACTTCTTTCCCATCTGGTAGCAAACCCTGAAAAAATATTTCCCAAATCAGATACAAGTATTGGCCTGTGAATCAATACTAAACTCATTTAGAATTAGAACCATAGGACATAGTATTACCTTGTAAACAGTACCAAACCCACCATGTCCAAGCTTGTTTGAATCTGAGAAGTCATTAGTTGCTATTTTTATAGTAGCTAGATCTATGAAGGCTAGCTCCTCAGAACTTACGAATTTGCCTTCTTCTGTGATTGTGACTCCAGTGGGGCTTGCCAAATCATGTAATAGTACTTGCTTACTTTTTTCTTCATCTGCAGAAAGCAAAAAGTAAAAAAGTAAATATTAGTTTGTATTCCTATATAAGTCCAGAAGAATTTCCCAGTTTCGATCCATGTACCTTCGATGTTCTCGAATCCCTTTTTCATCCGACAATGGAAAGCGCAAAATGAAATGACCACTAATAGTATGATGGATGCACATGTAGCCACCACCTTCCAAGTCTTCCATTTATCCCCTGCTTTTTAATAGGAAGAACTTCCGTGAGTTACAATTTACCATGAACATTATCAAATTTTAGATTGTTAGAACTCAGTGACCTCCTATTGATTCAAGTTCTACAATGTAGTAAGGCTCTTACTATAGGTATATACTCAATGTTTCAACAATATGCATACATAAGATGATTAACCAAAAGAAGAAAGAAAAACGTTTGAAGTCCCTAACCTTTGGAATATGGGAAATTTAACAGTGAACTCGACGTGTCGTTAAAAAATGAGTACAGTTCAAACCTCACATTACAATTCCTACTAACAACAGTTCCACCTTGGTGAGAAGAGCAGCATTCCGAAAGATCAGCAAGAGCAGAATTCAAACAATTATTGCAGTTACTTTCAGAGATGTCTCTAGTGCATTGTTGTAGACCATAAATAGTACTCTTTTCTGAATATTTAACTTTCCCAGTTGCAAACATATGCTTTGAAGAATTAAACGCAGCCTCTCCCGAGAGGTTTCTCATTAAATACATCAATACATCCTTGAAATGATGTGGATTTGATACAGTCTTCTCCTCATTATTCTTGTCTGGATATTTTCCAGTATAAACCATCAATGAAAAGGATATCTGGTAAGAATATTGAATTTGACAGAGTTCATACCATATCATTGCATCTGTTGTTTTACAGCTCTTGAAGATTTCTTGGCTTGCTTCATTGACACAGTTTTGACAAACTGTGGAGTTAACATCCCATCTACAAAGTGATTGTCCATAGACCATGCTAGGGCCATCTCCGATCGTGTTGTTGTAGAAGCCGCCTGAGATGGAAGTGTTGAAAGACAATGACTCAAGGAGCTGCTTGAGATTGTTTTCAAATTGGCTATTGGGAGTGTAGTTTCTGGCATCAGTTGAACAAAAGATTGAAAGAGGGTCTACAGCAGAAAGGCTAGCCGGCATCAATAGTGTTATAATGGTGAAAAGCATCACAGGAAGCCTATCTTTGTCCATTATCCAGAAATGGATTCACAGTGAACACCAATTTACACAAATTTAGGCCAATAGAAAAGGGAAAAACAGAAAGATGGCTGTTGATGGTTTATATTGATGAGATAGGCCTCTCTGACTTGTAAATTTTGACAATGAAGTATGGCCACTAGTTTTCATATGATTATGTCACAGAAACTGCCTTGCTGAAGGATGCGAACTGGCTGAATAAAGTCATGCTGCTGCATATGGTGATAGAGACCAGGATTATTGTAGTATTTGGAAGATTTTATTGAATTCTTGATTAATCAAAGACTTTTGCACTTGGGTCACATATCAGTCATGTTTAAAATACTTGATTTTAAAAAAGTGTGATTATTTTGTAGGTGACATTTCTAGGACTATTTGTTTGACCATTCTACTTGAAGGGAAGAAGTCATGAAATTACTAGTAAAGGATTTGGACTAGCACAGAATGTCGCCGGGAGTTGGTGGTGAATCATGGACCTGTAGAATTTGAGCTTACTTGATACGAAATTTCCTTGAGGTGACATTAAATAAATAACAGCATGTGAGTTTATGCAGCCCCTAATTTTAATCCTTTATTATATAATCTGACAGCAACTTGCGTGACACAGAAACATTGTTCTTTAATTACTAATTTTGTCTATTATGTTTACCTTGAATCTGAATAGTGAATCGACGACCAAAAGAAAAATGCAGTGCAGATGCATGGATATGACAGGCAATAGATGTAATCTTATTGAAGGCTTTGGATTTCCTAAATATCGAATCAGTAAGCATGTTTAATTATATTATTGAAGGCTTTGGATTTCCTAGCCTCCAATCATCCAACTGAAAGTTCATCCTCCATTGGGAAGGATGTATGTATATGCTCATCAAGTATTATTTATTTATTTTTTATTGATCCCTCAAACTGGACGAGTTGTAAAGTCTGTGCAGTTCCCACAACTTGATTATGGACAAAATTTGAAGTTCAAGATGGAAAAGCAAATGTATTCTTCAATTGTAATCCAGAATTTGGAATCTATATCAGTTTAATATTCACATTTGTGATCTATGCATTAAACAATTGTGCTTGCTTACATATCATGCCAAGTCAATAACAAGCAGATATACAAATCCTCATTGGCATTAAGGCATCACAAATTCCATGGACCCTGAATCGGCTCTGTTATCGTGGCTTGACATCAGAAACTGTTAGTCCATTAATGGAGTTATTATCAGTAGCTGCCACATTATGATCAGTAAATCTTCCCAGGGATAAGGCAGGTTTTTCAGGCTGGTTAAGAGTTACAGTTTCACTTTTCAACATTACAACAACAGAAGACATGGTTGGCCTGTCTTGCGCGTCTTCTTGAATACACAACAATCCAATGTGGAGATACCTTAGAAACTCATCTGGATCACATGAATCAAGCAGTAAGGGATCAAGTAGCTCCAACCCTTTTCCTTCATTCCATACTTGCCATGCCTGCATATCATCACTCAATTGGATAAGCGCCATTAAGCAGTGGTTTTAGCCTATGGCAATGTGATCATTTTGAGAAAGTGCATAAACTTACATATGCCACAAGGCTAGGAACGCGTTTTATTCGATGAAAGCCGGCGTTCCTTCTCCCAGTTATGATCTCAAGCAGGAGTACTCCAAATCCATAAACGTCAGACTTGACAGAATATATTCCCTCCATTGCATATTCTGGAGCCATGTATCCGCTATTCCAAACAAAAATTCAGAATAAATGTTGAGAAACTCAGAAATAAATCCTTCTTAAATGATGGTTGGAATCAAAAGCATCCTCTCATGAGAGTTTCTGTACAGTGGAAAAGAAAAGTGTTTAGAAATGAAGCACTTACTAAGTCCCAACTATTATAGCAGTATTGGCCTGTCCTTCACTTCCTGAAAAGATCCTTGCCATGCCAAAGTCTGAAATCTTTGGGTTCATGTCATTGTCCAACAATACATTGCTAGCTTTGAGGTCTCTGTGGATGATTCTAAGTCGAGAGTCCTCGTGCAAATAAAGAATTCCCCTTGCAATTCCACTAATGATGTTTATACGTCTGCTCCAATCAAGTTGCGCACGTTTCTTTGAATCTAACCATCATAAAAGGAGAAGTCATAAAACAATTGATTCAGATCCCAAAGACAGAGAAATTTCCCAGCGTAAAAAGAAAACATACCAAAGAGAAAGACATCTAGGCTGCTGTTTGGCATGTATTCATAAACAAGCAGTTTCTCCTCTCCATCAACACAAAAACCCAATAGCCGGACAAGATTTTTGTGTTGAAGTTTCAAGATCAGCAGAACTTCATTTGTGAACTCCTCTGCACCTTGCTCAGAACAGCTTGAAAGCCTCTTGATCGCCACTTCCTTTCCATCACTCAGTATACCCTGAGAAATTAAGACCAGATTTCCTTTTTCAAATCACAGAAATTACCAAGCAGATGATACAAATAACAATTTAGTTTTCAGACATGTGAACCTGTTTTACATAATTTGTTTAAAAAATGTTTTTACCTTGTAAACAGGGCCAAAACCACCTTCTCCAAGCTTATTTGAATCAGAGAATTTGTCGGTTGCTACATGTATAGATGCCAAACTGATATAGGGGTACTCCTGAGCTTTCGAGTTTCTTCCTTTAAAACTTTGATCAGGTAACAATGCATTTGGTCCTAAATTATCACTATTCCCTGAACACACAGAGAGAAAAATACTGCTTTCAGAAAACAAATTAGGGTGAGCTTCGAATTAAACTTTTGCAGAAGCAATAATATTTACTCTTTTGGTTCCTTCTCTTTGTAAGACAGACACAAGAACCCAAAAGTAGTATGGCTAGACATGCTGACACAATTGTGATCACCCATATTTTCCTTCCTCTGCCTGCATTTAGGAACAACCATTTGCAGTATATAATTAATTTTCCTTGAGAACGCCACACAAAGTGGACACAAACTTTACAAGTACTCACCGTCCCCTTTGTTATTATTCGGATCGATCGAAATAGAAGCTTCAGTTGCACCATCATAGAAGGCATATAACTCATACCTCACGTAGCAACTACGACTCAATAGTCTTGCACCAATGGAGAAATAAAACTCCCTTAAAACGTCTACTATGGCTTTCTGAAGGCACTGACCACAGTCATCTCCAGATAAGTCTGTAGTGCACTGCACAAGAGCATACACCACTTTATCTTCAAAGGGCACATCTCGAGTAGCATACATCTTAGCTGAAAGATTATAAGCCGCTTGCTTGGCCAGGCCTCTCAGTGTCTCATTCACAAGAGACTCAAACTTTTCAGGATCTGAAATATTTTTCTTGTTGGCTAAGGGAATGTTGTCTGCTACATTCAACTTGCCAAAGAAATTCGCATCAGAGTAACGCAACTGACACATTTCCTCCCACACAACGGCTTCTTTCGAGCTGGGACAAAGCGTCACGATGGCTGACTGTGCGGTGTTGATGCAATCGTGACATGTCTCATTTGTAACATAGTTGAGGCACATGTAGAGACCATAAACTGTGTCTGCAGTGTCATTTCCAGTGGATGTATTGTACATCTTGGAAACAGAAGCATTTGAAGGTAATGAAATGAGTAGGCTGTGGAGGTTTTTCTGAAAAGTACTGTTATCTGCATAGTTGCTAACGTTACCTGAGCATTTCCAATAAGGAGGGTCAGCAAAAGCTAGATCATAAAGGAGGGAGATGAGAAAACAAAGCAAAATTGGCAGAATGGTTTTCAGAAATTGAACCATATTTTGGTATGTCTTTGCTTGCACTACCAATAATCATCTAGTATCATAGCAAAAGATTGGTACCACTTTTAAATAGCTTTGTCTTCTCCTTCCTGCTTGACCTTTTGGCTACAACTACCAGAAGCAATTCGTTAGTTTTGTGCTCTCTCTCAAGTTTGACAACTGAATTAAGAGGCAATTTCTTGGAAGAGTTGTTAATTAAGTAGCTAAAATCACATCAATGAACGTCCTAAGACGTAATTACCACTGAACCACATGGCAAACATATTTTTTGAATTTCATTATTTTTGTGCGGCACGAGGTTCTTGACTTCTGACCCCAGGAAACAACCTTCACATATAAACAAAAGAAAGCCAGGACAAATCAATTGGCTGTAGTGTCCTGGAATTTGTTCAGTTTAAAAGATTTGTTGACCGAGACTAATAGATAATGACAAGGACATCATAAATCTATAAAATAACTATAACATAAATCCATTACAATTAAACATCGAAATGTTTTGGAGTGCTTCTGTAAACGTCAAACGCTCTTAAAAACACTTTTAATTACATAAACGCGCTTTTAACTTCTCTAAAACTAGTGACAAACTTCATCCCTGACAAGCTCACTACATCAACCAATTTTGTTGAATTATAACATGTTTCAGACAGAGTGATTTTATTCATAATCGCTTAATACACTGAATTTCTTATTTAAAATCATTTTGACTTGCTTTTGTCTTCTAAAATCGTTTTTAATTATTTGAAAGCACTTTCGTGATTATACAAGCCCATTAGCCCAGCTCCGTAACCAATTTTGCTCCAAGAATTGGGCTTGGGTTGGCATTTTTAAGCCCAATCTTTGTGTTGATCTAACTTAAGCCAGCAAACGTAGATCAAGTTGCAGGCTGTCCCTAGGCCCAATAAACATACGCTCCACGCGAAAACAAAGCAGCAATGGTGATATATAGTTGGCTTCAGGTTCAGACACAAACCGCCAACACCGCGCGCTTTACCTCCTCACTCCTCAGTGAATGGCACTCGCTCTTAGAAGATTTGCAGCTTCATTCGGCTACCCGCCACATTTCCAATGCGTTCGAGCCTTGTCTCCGTTGCGCTTTGCAAATAGTTACAGTTGCTTCTTGTCGTGTGACTCGTCCGGTAAGTCCCGAACCTGCTTGTGAAAATGTCTCTTATACAATCTGTTTGGAATTAACTGCCATTTTCGCACATGCTCTGAATTTCAAGATTAGAGGACGGCGTTTGCGCTGATCATCCAGAATTCCGAAAGTGGCATAATGGCGGTGGGTCGTTCCACAAGTCTGCCTGCATTGACCCAACAGTTTTCATTGAGTTTGGTGCTGTTGTTCATTCAAAATCCGTGGTGGGCGAGCACGCTCATATTGGTTCTGGAGCTGTCGTTGGACCTTGTGTTACTATTGGGCAATCAACAAAAATAGGGTAGTGATCAAATCTTTTACTTGACATTGTCTTGTTAAAGTTTACACTTAGAGTTGCCAATTTGAAATTTATTTGATGTTAATGGAGTTACCACGTTTCTGATCTCTGCAGCTACAATGTTGCACTCAGTAATTGCAGTATAGGAGATTCGTGTATAATCCACAATGGCGTATGCATCGGTCAAGATGGTAAGGCCACTTTATGTAGGCTTTGATTCATTTGATGCAGCTAATGAAAGCTAAAGGAATATAAATCTGTTCGGTTAGAATCTGATCTTGATGAATTATTCTGAATTATAAGTGTGCCCAACAGCATATTGGGAATATTGATATGAATCATGAGTTAATATGAATACTGTTTGATGTGAGCCGATTGTTATTGGCATCTGGTATTCAGGCGATGTTGTTTATCTACAGGATTTGGATTTACGGTGGATGAGCATGGGAATATGTTAAAGAAGCCTCAAGTTAGTGATTATTTATTTATTTATTTATTTTGTACTTCAATTGAAGTCCATTTTAGTTTTCTTTCTCTTTCATTTTGCTTTTGAGCATATTTCTCTCATGTAATTTGAATTTCTGAATGAAATTATGGAACTTTGGTGTTTGAAAATCAACATAATTATTTTTATACTGGGTCGTCACATTGCATTATGTAGGTGTGAGAGTCTTCATATGTTTGGCTTATATGACCATACAGGTTATCTATGCATATGCATGCAACTGTAGAATGCAAGCATCTTATTGTATGTCTTTCTTGTTCTTCATTCCATACTCAAGATGCTGAATGCTAGGGTAGGGAACTATGTGGAGATTGGTGCAAATACATGCATTGACAGGGGCAGGTGAGACATACAGCCTTTTATATCTTTTACACTGATGTTTCATGCATGATTATAGTTTCTGAATCAGTTAGTACTCTAATACTGTTGAATTTTGACTACTAATTAAAACATAATTTGGTTTATGCAGTTGGAGAGAAACGGTTGTGGGGGATCATTCCAAGATCGATAATTTAGTTCAGGTTGGCTTTTGCCTTTTGCATTGTTGGCTGAATTTCCTGGAATATATGGTTATCTGTTTGCTTGGGTTTGCAGATCGGTCATAATGTAGTTATTGGGAAGAGTTGCATGCTTTGTGGACAAGTTGGGATTGCAGGCTCAGTGACGTACGTTCTCTCTCTCCCTTCCCCCCTCCTTTCCCTTTCCTTTTTTATTGTGGATTTATAAAGTTCACCATGGTATATGAATATGATTCAGTTTCACTTCAATGAATTTGTCAACGTTCCAAAAAATCTGCCAGTCTAATGACTTTATTCTCTTTTTTGTCTTGTAGGATAGGAGACTATGTAACTATGGGGGGAAGGGTAGCAGTTCGTGACCATGTCTCCATTGTATCAAAGGTGTTTGCTTACATAAAATGACCCAATCTACTAGTAGCCTAAATTAGTAATGACTTGTCACTTGTGAAAGAACTCGGTCTTCTATTTAAATATCATTTCGGTTTTGAAGGTTCGAAGAGCCCGAGAATCTTACGTTCTTTTTCATTTTTCCATTGTTATTTTATCTCATTCTTTTCATGCTCTCGCATTTTTTAATTGACTAGGAGTATGGTTGAATATCTTATTGCATGGACTTTGCAGGTACGACTTGCCGCTACTAGCTGTGTCACGAAAGATATTACAGAACCTGGAGATTATGGTGGCTTCCCAGCTGTAAGTGCCATCTTTGTACTTTCTTCTGAAATTATTTTCATGCATTGCATACCAAAAATATTGTAGTTGGTGCAGGGTGATTGTTGGATGTTTGGTTGATATCCAATTGATATTCTAAATAGCTTAATTCGGTTGTGTTTCAGGTTCCGGTCCATGAGTGGCGAAGACAAGTTGCAAACTACTGTCGAACATCAAAAAAGGTGAACCGTTAGAATCATCAGAAAGGAAACTCAGGTTCACTCTTATGTTATTAAACCCTTGCACTGTTATTATGAGCTTTGCTGGGGACTGCGCTTAGCAAAGATAACTACTCAGGGATTGTGATCTAGACATAAATGCAATTTGTTCACTGCTCTACTATGTGTTCCTATACTCATGAACTGCTGATAGCACCTTTTGCTTCATGCATTGAACTGTTGTAATCAAACAACAGAAACCAAAAGTAGAAACGATAAGTCTTCTACGTTTAATACTTACAATATCAGGGTGTGGATGTGAAATTAACATGAACAAACAACCTTAACCTGATACTTCTTAACAGTGTTTGATAAGATTGAATCTACATTATTTTAGCAGCTGTGAAGATTTTAAACAGATAAGTATGAAGTAAATTTGATTCATTCTTTAATCCTTATAAAAAATAGTAAAAGTAAAAGTTCCGGAATTTTGGAGTGGGTTTGCGCCAGCTCTCTTAGCTCTTAGTTTACATTAATAAAGCATAAGCCAAAAACCTTGTAATACTGGTCCCTTGCATGAGTTTGCAATGTACCATTATCATTTGCAGAGATTTAGGCAGCTACGGTAACAGTAGGGACAATAATCAGTATATTATAAACAAGACCATGAAATTTAGGCAGCTATATTGTAAATTTGCAACATCTAGCATAACAATCGTTGTCTAGTACTCCTCCATTTCTTGGAAGCACGACGTAGCTTAATTTTCTTCTTCTTACCAAAAATCTTACCATCTGAACCAACCAATAATTTACCTTGCAAGTGTAATCCATGATGCTTACTCTTCACTCCCCATGTTCTATATCGAATCCGAGTTAGTACTGCCACCTTCAGTTCTGCAGTTGCATTGGATATGGAATTGCGAATAGCTTTCCAAACTCGTGGGTTGACATCCACAGAATCAGTCACTTCACGGGTTTTACCTCTTCCTTGATGAAAAGAAGGTATGGTTTTCTCCCCAACCGTATCTGACCCATAATAGAATCTCAAAATGGTGTCATCATAGTAAATACTAGAGTCTTTGTTGGAATTTTTAATTTCAAGGACGTATAAGATAGAGCCATTTTGACCCCCATTGTCTATATCGGACTTTGGGATGGTGATATCCACAATGGTATACTCAGGGGATTCTGGACGTAAGGCCAACCATAGAACGAGGGCTAGGAGACCCAGGAGGCCAAAGAATTGTAGAACCCATAAGTAGAAATTCTTTGTCTCGCACATCTTTTAGGACTGAACATAAAATATTGACTTCTGATTGTTTAAATGAATTTGGTTGCACTAATTGAGAAGGAGAAGGAGAAAAGAGGTGAATTATGCAGTAAGAAAGGAGCAAAAGTGGGAATATCAAAGGGTGTTTGGTTGTCATGTAAGTTACAAGAGGACATATTCTTTTCTTCTAGAGTGAGTTGAATGGGGTATCAGCCTTTGCTGTTGGAGCGGAAAGTAATATGTGTGAAACTAAAGCGTTAGGTTAAAGTTTGTGAAACTTTCATACATTTGATTCCCCACGAGTTGATCCTTGGAAGAGAAGGAACATGATTCTTTACTTGTGTAGGATGTAATTGCTTTAATGCTTATCTGGAGTTAGTTTTCCTTTGGGAGACTAACCTGCAACCAAAGTTTTGCAACCTAGGTTAATTCCACTTTCCAGCAGAGAAGCCAAAAATAAAATGATAGAATGCGACGGTTTTTCTGGTGTATAAAGAAAGAATGGCACGATCATTTAGTGCAACCCAATTAATAAACATCACCTGAATTGGGGTTTGATCATGATTATGGTTTAATGTCTGAGATTACTATCTTGATTTCCCCTCAGTTATCCCATATTAAATCATATCTATATTCCGATTTAATCAGATTTTGGATCCATATTATGGTCTGGATCCGACATTGTTTGTTCAATGAAACAGAATCTGTGCCTGGGGCTAGTAGTTGCGAATGGTTAGCAATCATCGCAACTTCACAACCCAAATCAGTCGACCCCCGCACAATCACCACTCGTAGAAACCAAAACAGGATCGAGAGTTGAGATTGCGAGATTGCGAGATTGCGAGATTGTGCATGATCAGATTCATGTTTAGGATATACGCTATCCTTGATAATTGGTTTGAACACTACTGTAGGACTATGCAGGAGGCCCCATGATTTGGAAAAAGAAGCTCAAGATTCTGTTATTTTTTTTGTCCAAAAGATTAACATTAACATTTAAAAATGTTCTTTCCATTTGCATCCGAGGAAACATGGAAAGCATATATGGAATACGTGGGTCAGGTTAGTTGGCCAGGGCAGTGGACCGTCCTTGCACTCAAGTTCGAGTTGCTATGCACATAGATTAAATTAATTTATAGTAGTTTAGACCATCGTTTGTAAATAAAAGCTTAAAAGGGCTTCCTAGCTCACCCTGATATAAAGTTAAACTTTTGTTTATCATAATACACGATAGCAATGTCCACATATTATAGTCAGCCATGATCGCACTAAAATTCCTCAATCAATTTAGAAAGATTATACAACAAATGAAGTGAATCACAGCTCTTGTGGTCAGTAAGCAAATCCAAAGCCAATAACCCCCAAAAGCATACGAAAATATAAACACAGGTTAATGGAAAAATAAAAGTTCCCCAATCTCAGTGAAATCGACAGGGCATCTCCTACTTTCAGAAGTGTGAATGTGAAACGAACATGAATAAACAACCTTAACCTGATACTTCTTCACATTATTTTATCAGCTGTGAAGATTTTAAACAAATAAGTATGAAGTGAAGTCGATTCATTCTTTAATCCTTATAAAATATAGTAAAAGTAAAAGTTCTGGAATTCTGGAGGGATTTTAGAGTGGGTTTGCGCCAGGTCTATTGGTTTATATTAATAAAGCATAAGCCAAAAACTTATTCAACCTTTTAATACTGATCCCTTGCATGAGTTTGCAACGTACATTATCATCTGCAGAGAGTCTAGAGATTATAGACAAATTGTCGAATTGGATATTCTGCTACAGTAACAGTAATAATCAGGTAAATTATAAACAAGATTATGAAATTTAGGCAGCTATATTTTAAATTTGCAACATCTAGTATAACAATCGTCGTCTATCATTCCGCCTCCATTTCTTGGAAGCACGGCGTAGCTTAATTTTCTTCGTCTTACCAAAAATCTTACCATTTGAACCAATCGATATTTGACTTTGCAAGTCTAATCCATGATGCCTACTCTTCACTCCCCATGTTCTAAATTGAATCCGAGTTAGTACTGCCACCTTCAGTTCTGCAGTTGCATTGGATATGGAATTGCGAATAGCTTTCCAAACTTGTGGGTTGCCATCCACAGAATCAGTCACTTTACGGGTTTTACCTCTTCCTTGATGAAAAGAAGGTATGGTTTTCTCCCCAACAGTCTCTGACCCATAATAGAATCTCAAAATTGTGTCCTCGTGGTAAATGCTAGAGACTTTGTTGGAATTTTCAATTTCAAGGGCGTATATGATAGAGCCATTTTGACCCCCACTGTCTATATCGGACTTTGGGATGGTGATATCCACAATGGTATACTTAGGGGATTCTGGACGTATGGCCAGCCATAGACAGAGAGCTAGGAGAAGCAGGAGGAGTACGGAAATTTCTAGGAGCCAGCAGTAGAAGTTCTTGCTCTCGCACATTTTTTCCAATTGTTGATAAAATATTGACTTGTGATTTTTTAAAATGAATTGGGCTGCACTTTGAGAAGGAGAAGAAGGGAGAAAAGAGGTGAATTCTGCAGTAAGAAAGGAGCAAAAGTGGTAAGTTGTGCAGTAAGTTACAAGAGGATTTTTTTTTTTTTTTTTCTCTCCTAGAGTGAGTTCAATGGAGTTTCAGCCTTTGCTGTTGGAGCAGAAAATAATAAGTGGGAAACTAAAGCAGTAGGCTAGAGTTTGTGAAATTTTCGTACATTTGATTGCCCACGAGTTGATCCTTGGAAACCTAGGTTAATTTCACTTTCCACCCGAGAAGCCGAAAATAAAACGATAGAATGCGAAGGTTTTTCAGGTATATAAAGAAAGAATGGCACGATCATGTAGTGCAAAACATCACCCGAATTCGATTTAATCATGGTTATGATTTAATGTCTAAGATTACTTTCTTGATTTCCCCTCATTTATCCCATATGTATAAAGAAAGAATGACATGATCATTTGGCGCAACCCAATTAATAAACATCACCCGAATTGGATTTGATCATGATTATGATTTCATGTCTAAGATTACCATCTTGATTTCCCCTCATCATAACAAATCATATCTATATTCTGATATACTAGGGTTTTGGATCTCACATGATTGTTAAACCAGAAGCTGTTGCATTTGAAATGAGCTTTTCGTTAAGCCTTTAGTGCTACTGTGCTAAGATAGTATATGGACGAGGACGACTAATCAAATGGTCAGCATTCATTCATCAGAACTTCACAACCCAAAACCAGTCGACCCCACGCAATCACCATTTGTAGAAACTTCATCACGACCTGGTTTGAACAGTACTGTAGGACTATGCAGACCATGATTTGGCAAAACAAGCTCGAGAATTTGTAACTTTTTTCTGTCCAAAAGATTAACATCAAAAGGAGAAGTGTTCTACATGGAAAGCATATGTGGAAGAAAAAGTTAAAAAGAAAAAAGCATACTATTTTTAAATGCCTAAAAGATGCAGGTGCAGACTCTAGTTAGGTTAGTTGGCCATGACTGTGGGTCGTATATTAAACTATCGCTGTGTAAAAACAAAAAAATAAATAATTTTGAACATTCAATTTAGAAAGATTATACAACAAATCAAGGAAATCACAGCAAACCCAAACCCTTTATAACCCCCAAAAGCATACGAAATAAAAACATAAGTTAAAATGCAAAAAAAAAAAAATCAAAATAATTCTCCAAATTCAGGTGAAATAGACAGGGCATCTCCTATCTTTAGAAACAGGCAAGATCAAGCCATCCTGGCCCACATCGACATCACAGTTGGCGTGCATCCGATGGCGCTTACTATCCCACGACTGAATCCTAAACCTAATCGTAGCCGAAAATTCAAGTCGAAACACGACCGTTCCTCTCGAACGATCATTGATGAACTCCATCCAACGCTGGCTATTCACCGTTAAGGTAGCCCCAGTAAACGACCCAGCCACGATCGTCGTGTTCTTAGGCCCTTGATAAAACGGGGGCAGTAACCCGGAGATTGAGCCAATCCGCTGGTCCTTATAATAAGCCGACCCGTCCATTGAGTCATAGTATATACCAATATCATGGTTGGCGTTACGGGCCGTGGCATTGAATGTGATCTCAGCATTTTCAAACCCGGTTTCTTGGTTCAAGCCCGGAACCGTAAATGCATGGATATGAAATCTTGGGCGGTGTGGACGTAGACTAAGCCATAGTATGAACGCTACCATGCCAAGAATGAGGAGGAGGCCCAAGAAGATGGTGCAGAAAAGCTTGGAGACCCGGGTGGTGAGGCTTTCACGGACCCGGTGGGCGTAGTACCGGGGGGTGTGCTGACGCTTCATGCGTTGGGGCTCCGGGGTGGGGTACTGGATCGGCAACCGGTCGGGGGAGTTGTGCATTTTTGGCAGGGAAGTTTTGGGGAGGATTTGATGAATAGGATAGAGGGAGAGGTTTGTTAATGTTTATGTAGTCAAGAAGGTGGCGGGGAAGAGTGAAGGGAGGTTAAAGCATTTTGGGTCTTTTAGGAGGGAGAAAGAAAAGAATATAACGGACATTGTTGTATGTATTGTATCAATCGGTTTATGAAATGTATGCATCATCCATCACCATGTTACATACGAAGGCTTGTATCCGAAGAAGGCATAAAGGTTTCCTACGGATTGTGAAAAGTATAGATACGAACTAAGGAATCTTGTGAGCTGGTGATCCAATGTTTATTTGCACTTGGTTCTTTTTTTGTTTTTTAGGTATCTTTGTATATTGGTCTTGCTGTGGTCCGGAGATCAATGGCAAATGTGCCAATGTCCGTTATCACCAAAAAAAAAAAAAAAGGAACTGACATGTTATCTATGCATTTTTATAATGGCGTCCGGATCCGGAGAAGTTCACACCACCAATACCAAATCTTAACTAGACATTTATTTGAGAAAGAAAATAATCATGAATAACTAATACACTGGCACAAATACATATATATATATATGGAGGCAGATATACATCCTTTTATTTGCTTACTTGGTGTTCAAATTAATAAAACCTTAGTTAATTTTGCTGCAAACTTTCCTGATTTCCCCTGCGTTACCAGTGAGAACTCCAATCCTACCCATGTTCACCATGGAAACACCGAAATCCTTAAAGAAACTAGATTTTCCAACGGCGGCAGCATGACTTTGAACATAAGCTTTTGTCTCGCTGTCATCAAGAAGAGCTGCATCGGATTGGAAGAGACCCCTTCTCTTGGACACGAGAGTGAAATAGGTCTGGTCGAATGTCTTGAAACTCCCCGGATCCATCTCCACAAGAGTCTTTTGATCATTGGGTTTGCATTTCAACTTCAATCTTGCAATGTAGTTGGGATCCAGTGTGGGATCGGTATCGCCCTTCCCCGTGAAGTTGTAAAGGCGGTTGCTGAAGGCAGTGCAGTGAGACGTCCCAATAGTGTGCCCGCCTTATATAAGTGCATGCACATAGAAGAGCTTAGTTAAATTTGTTTCATGAACATAATATAGTTAGTAAAAACTGAAGTTTTATGCATATATACGTTGTGTTGTTTAGGTACCTGATAGCACTACAAGATCTTTGGCGCTTAGACCCTTTCGCGCAAAGCCTGCTTTTAATATAGTAATGTTTGCAGTGGGTGGTAGTAGATTCATAAAGGCCTCTGTTATATTGGAAACTCTACCATCTCTTCGTCCTGTTTCAACGTTCCAGTGTGCTCCATTGAGCTGAGGTCATCACATCATGAACATTAGCTTTTTAAAAGCAAAATTTACAAATTCAATGGAATGTAATGAAGGGAAAATGATATGATTTAGTACCGCGGAAACCACATCTCTAGCTGTTATGGCTAAGACGTCTGCACATGAAACCACTCCAGGGCATGCCTTTTCTAAAGCAGACTTAGCTTTGTCGATGATCTGAAATCCTCGCAGACTTAGGTTTGGAACTGCATCTTTTTCAGCTTGGTTGGTGGAAGAGTTCAATAGTATCGAACCTTCGCAACCCTGCAGAAAAAACCAGTGATATATATCAGTTGCATGAAAAGAAATAGATAACATTCTTTCTCTGGTTATATACACTTACCCTAACAAAACAATCATGAAAATGCATTCTCAACAAAGGAGCAGCAAGTGAAGGTGTAGTTGATATGGTTTGAAAGATGACTTTCTTCACAATGTCCTCAGCTTTGGGGCATGACTTTGCATAAAACCCGACGTTGAGCCCTCCCTGCGCATTTGCAAGGTCAAGGACGAAAAGTAAAAAGGTCAGCTGGAGAAAGAGATATGACAAAAGCTTTGAAGTAGCCATGTCAAGCTCAAGGGTTTGTGATTATTTCTTGTGCTGAAACACAGACACCAACTTATACATATATATATAAGCTTTGACGTCCTAACGAACCCGCTAATCATGTCATATTACTTGGCATACTTCTGACTTTTGATTGTTTAATTTCACTGATTTATTATATGGTGCCTCACATGTCTGCCGGTTCGGCCTCACATCACATATAAATTATAATTAGCAAAAGGTTAATTCTTAATATTTCAAGATTAAGTTGTTAAACCCCTATTGGTTCACGTCCATTGTCATTGAATAAAAGCATCAAGCTGCATGATGGATGAGTCCTTCCTCGAGGGCTCGAAAAAACAGTTGACCCCTAACATAATACAAAGCATGTGATGTTGCTAAACAAAGTCCATCTCTTTGTTTAATTAGTAATTAAGTAGTGGTGCTGCTGAGGCAAACTTATTATCCTGCTCTAGTTGAAGTCCTGAAAGATAATATATATTAGAGAATTGCTTAAATTATCTATATAGGACATGTACAGGTTGTGTGATAAAATCATAGATAATTAAGTTTATGGACACGTAAGAGTGCTTGGAGTGCGCCTTAATGTTAGTTAGACACATTCTACTAATAACCTATGATTTACGACCAGTAGCACGTCACATGGTTTGGATGTTAGAATGTCGTTAAGTATTATCAGTTTGAATGTGTCCCTCAATATTTAAATTTTGCATTTCTTGTCACGCCAGCTAGTATTAACCATGCTGGGTTGAGATTGAGATTCAAAACCCAATCATAGTAAGACGGATTCCGAGCCTCTATATTTAAATAGGTAGTTGATTTTCCCACTCTATTTTTCTCCACTTACACTCCCTTTTGTTTTTTAATATCATTTAATCAATTTTGTTTTTTTTTGTTGTTTTTCTTTCCTATCCTACCCTTGCCTTATATTAATTTATTTTCACTTCACTTTTATATCATTTCTTTTTCTTTTTACTTTATTTTCACTTGCCCTCATTTTTCAATATATTTTTGGCTTATTTTTTGATATACCCCTGAAAGTATTTTGAGTCTCACTTTGGCCCCTAAAATTCATTTTGTCTCACTTTACTTCCTTTTTCACACATATATATCTCACTTTCTTTGGATTCCGGCGAGGCCCAAGCCAACGTCATCCCAACTCACTACCTTCTTCTGGTTTTTCGCCCAATAGATCAAATCAAACTAAGAAAATCAACTTCCAAAAAATAAAATCAAAAGAATCATATCAAAAACCAACCCACCAAACCAAATCATACCCAACCATTCTTCAGCCACCCAACTTCCTCTACACACCCAACATCAGTTTCACCGCAGCCTCCACCCCCAGTTCAAGAACAACATCCTTCCAACCACCATCAAAGCCACCCCCATCCAATCCCTCACCCCATCACCGCAAACCCACCCAAGATTAATCTCCCCATCCAAACCCCCACAATAGTAACTAATCAAAATCAATAAGTAAAAAAAAATTGAAAAACAAACCCAAATCTCAAAGAGAGATGGAGAGATTGGTGGGTATGGAAAAAGAAAGAAAGATAAATGGAGGAAGAGGAGGTGGTGGCTGGGGATGGTGGCGAGGGAGGGCACAAGTTGGGTACAACACTGGAGGGGCTGGGTTTTTTTATATATATTTTGTTTTCTCTTTTTTTATTTTGATTTTTAAAGTTGAAGGGGGAAAGAAAAGAAGAAATAATATAAAAGTAGTAAAAGAAAATAATGTAAAGTAAGGGTAGCATAGGAAAGAGAGAGGACCAAAAAAAACAAAATTAATTAAAAAATATTAAAAAATAAAAAGGAGTGTAAGTGGAGAAAATGAGAGTAGGGAAATCAGCTCTCTTTAAATATTGTGCTTTTATCTACATTTCGCGAGATCTAAACCATTCTAATAATCCAACGATCCAAGGTAAGACACTTCGATTTTTAACATTCATCCATTTAATCAACTATAATTTAACATTGTTATCTCGAAATACGAGTAAATGCACAATATCTAAATGCAAGAGCTCGGAATCCATGGTTTAACGTTAATGTTGTTCATCTTATAAAATTGGGATTGGATAGGCTTGGTTTGATTGTTGATGGACTGAAAACATGTGACCACATCCATCAGCCCGTTGGAGTTTAGCCCAACGAAGTTCAGGCAAGACCCACTATTGAGCAAGTAGTAAGCTTGGTCCACACTTAAGCCCAACAAAGTTCAGCCAAGACCATATTCTTTTCAAAATCTTCAATTCTCTGTTATAATATCTTGAATCAGTCACTTGACTTAACTTCAGAGATACTTTCATTTGTAGCTCAAGTATAATATAATTAATTTTAAAAAAATTTAAAAATGAATAATTCATATATAGTTGATCTGCCCGTGGCCTAGCCATGGCCCGTGGGTCATAGTTTGAATACGTGTGTCCTCAAAAAAGAGGGAGACGAAAATGGGATGGGATAGGATCGGAGAGCATCTTCTTCCCGTCTACATCAACACACGCAAAGAATGGATGTATCTAACTAATCTTTTGATTTGGGATCAGTAGCAAGCAACAAAAGACAGAGCTTGATATGTTAACTTAAAACCCCACACACAACAAGAGAGAGAGAGAGAGAGAGAGAGAGAGAGAGAGAGAGAGCGAGAGAGAGAGAGATAGATCCAGATTGGTCGACATGGCTATCAATTAATGTATCTCAACTTTATTCAAATGCATGTTTGGAATGGATTGCATGCAAATACAAATGCAATGGAGCCATAAATAATGCAATGCAAATGACTCGTACAAATTTCAGACACACAGGGAGCCTTTGTGTGGTGGTGAGGGGCTACCAATTTCCCAAACTTTATAAAGTGATTTGTCAGTACGAAAACAAAGGGCGTACGCATCATTGGTGGGTGGGTGGTAACAATCCAAGTAATAAAAATATATGAGTTAGCTTAGCATAATTAATCATTTGTTTCTTGCAACAGTGTTGAATCAATGACAGGATCAATGAGACCTAAGTGTTTAGAAACATAAAGCAAAAGCAAACTCCTCTCAATCAAAACAAGGTAGCCCATGAACATGATTTAATAGGAACTTGATGTAATAAGCTCATCATTCAGTTCTGGTAATTATTAACTTCCACTAGTGAGATACTGTCCAGGCCTTAATTTATGTCCAAGATGACGCACGAGAGCTGTCAATTTACTACAACTCAACAGTATACAAATCGTACGGGAGCCCACCAATATTATACCCTTTCTCTTTCAAATGCATTGGAACTTTGTCACT